TTCATCCATAGAACGGCTAGGCTTCCAGCATGATGGAAAAATACCCGACCTGTACGAGACGGTAAACAACTTGCAGAGAATCGATGTTAATTGTGGTGCACATTTTTTGAGGATTATGGGTGGAATTCCATCAGGCCTTATTCGTTTTGAGACCAAGCAAAATTCGTCTGATAGTGCGTTGACGGAAGACGATTTCGAGTTTGCTGCGAACATCTCTGCAAAAATATTTGCTTTCTCCTGCGATGTTGTTGCTAATGTGCCGTCGGATTTGGACAGTGGTGGAAATGAACTATTAGTGAAATTTCTTCCGACCACCTTTACTTTAGTTTTTCTCCTCACAGAAGCTTCTATGTAACCTTGAGCAACTGCTGAGGATTCCCATCTTCCATGGACCTTTATAGTGACCAAATCACCGCCTTTATTTGCTAAATGGGACACACTAGAACGCCAAAAACAATGTCCTGTATATTCGTATGGGCTAATTCCATCAGTTCAGAAAGAGTGCAACTTGAGCCTTCCTCAGAATAGAAAATTAAGATTTTTAATTGACCATCAATTTCAAATTATATCACTGGAATAATGATGTTAATTTGAATAATTTTTGTACCATCTGTCAAATTTGGGAATAAACATTCAAATGTTTTTTTATTGTTACCTTCTTTTCTTACTTCCTATCTTTCTAATATTTGATGTTTTCATTGATGAAATTTTTTGAATGAAAGAGTACAGAAGAAAGCAAAATAGAAAAAATAGTATATTACTATTACACACGTTTTATAAGACATATTGTCGCACTAGTTTTTCTTGTATAATAATATATATGTGTTGATAATAATCATTTGAATAATATCATTCTGTATATTATGAAATTAATCTCTGAGTTGTCAGTGATTGTGTGTGTTGATTTCGTTTTTCTCTGATAAATCAGTGCCTTCATGTATTTGTTCATTCATTATATTAATTTCTTCTTGTGGTGAATCTTCGTGTTCTACTATGTGATTTTCTGGTATTGTCGACAGATGATGTGATTCTGTTATTGATTCGTTTTGAGAATGTTCTTCAAAATCAAAAAACAAATCAAAACTGTTGTTTTCAATAATTTTTCCGGTTTTTCTCTCTTCGAAGATTACATCGCGGGAAAGAACGACCTTGCGATTGTCTTGATCCCATAATCGGTAACCATTTGGTGAATAGCCAATGAATACCATCTTTTTACTTCGAGAGTCAAGCTTTTTTAGATATCCCAGTACATTTGCATGTGCATCTCACCCAAATAGTTGTAAATTAGATAAATTTGGTGTCTTGCCAGTCCATTTCGTCACAGGTAGTGATTCGACAGCTCCACTTGGGCTTCTATTCAGCAAATAAGCAGATGTACGAACTGCTTCTCCCCACATTTCCTTGGGTATTTTAGAATCGAATATCAGAGCTCTGGATTTCTCCATCAACGATCGATTTAAAAAGATGGTATTCATTGGCTATTCACCAAATGGTTACCGATTATGGGTTGTTAAGTAGTTCATATGTTATACAATATAAATGAAATAATAAAAAGATCATTCCATCTTTTTTAAAACCTTGCTATCTGTTTCTTCCTGCATATTAAAATCTCAACAATATATACTATTCACCTGTTTCGAAGTATGTACATAATTCTGGTGACAAGGTATCATGAAATGTTTGTTAGATAAAAACAAAACAAAATGGTGGCTCCAAAATAACGGATGAATTTTGTAATTATGATTTATGATCTGATTATATTCAAAGTTGTTATCTGGGGGTTTTTGGAGTCGGCAATTATGATTCTTTTGTCAAAATTTGAAAATTCAATATGGCGGACGAGTTTTGTAATTATGATTCCATTCTATTAAATTGTGGTTGGGGGTTTTCGAGGTCGGAGATTATGATTATTTCGTCAAAATTTGAAAATTCAAGATGGCGGATCCAATATGGCGAACGAGGGGTAAGTCACCTTGAAATCACGGTGTACAGGCATGTTAAATTCTTTAGGATTTTGGTTGGATTCAGTGGGATTCCAGGGCCTCTGGTGTACAAATTTTTCGAAGGTGGTTTACCTACTCCTTGATGGCGAACGAGTTTTGTATTTGTGATCCGATTCTATTCAAAATTGGAATCTGGGGGATTTCTGGGTCAGAAGTTATGATTCTCCTATCAAAATTGAGAAATTCAAGATTGCGGTTTCAGAATGGCAGATGAGTTCTCTGATTATCCTTTGATAATATTCAAAATTGGTATGTGGGATTTTGTTGCCGCAATAAAATGAAAAATGTTCAAAGATAAGCTTGTATATCAATGCAGATGACATAAAACAATAATTTCTTTCATGTTGATCTAAATTATTCTGTGAATAACAGATTCGAAATTTTGCCGCGGATAAAAGATAAAAAATTTTGCACGGTATGTAGGGTGTGAATCAATAGTGTGTTCTTCTTCGATACAGGGTTGAAAAAAAACATGTATTTTTTAATTTTATACAAAACACATGGTTTTTTTTTGTTTTAAACGTTTTTTTTGTTTTAAACATTGTTTTTTTTTTGTTTCTGAATTTTATGATTTAAACAAATAAAACTTGGAAAAAGACATTGTTCAAATCAATTTTTTTCAAACATAATATTAATTCAGAGATTAATTCAAAATTTTTGATATAATAATCTTTAGTATTAGTCCACTTAATAATAGATTATAAGGATATAATAAAGCTTGTAAACGACACAAATTTGAAGACAAATGCCCAAGACTATTTGAAAAAAATTGAAGTATATCATAGTTGATTTGGACAAAGTCCAAAGAAACACTTGCACTATAGGAGAGGCTACAGAGATATGGCTAGAACTTTTAGAAGCATTCGAGACTGAACAAGCAAATGGAGAATTTTTGGTAAATGATACGAATAAAGTGAAGGAACGTATGGAAATGGCTTTAACCCCAGCTCATTTTTTGGCAAATTCGCTTGATCATCGCTTCAGAGGAAAAAAACTCAGTCAAGAGCAAATAGGAACTGGCATGGAATATGTAGAAACCTATCATCCAGAAGCATTGCCAATTATTATTAATTACCAGGCAAAGTGTGCACCCTTTAAACAATATATGTTTTCTAAACATCTGATTGAAAATTAGAATTCAAAAGTAAAACCATTGGCATGGTGGCGTTCTATAAACAATATAAATATGACATCAATGGAACTTGCTCAACAGCTTCATACAGCTATTGCATCGTCAGCCAACATAGAAAGACTCTTCTCATCATACGGTTTAGTCCATTCAAAACTACGTAATGGGCTTATATCACAAAAACATTTTATTCCATAATTCGATAGAACTGACCCAAACTAGCTCACCACCGCAAACCGTTTCTTGCTGTGAGTTCCCTACGTATTATAAAAAATTATTGAAATCCCCGATTTTTCGGACCTCTGAAAACGAGGCGATGATGTGACGTCAAAACCCCAATACTGAAACAAGACTATTCCAGACAGAGATGAATGATACATGATTTTTTGACAGAGTGAATTAGCGCGAGATCACAGATGAAAGAATTAATATATCAGTTGTCTCAGTCTCTTTCGGGCGTTTGGTATCTTCTTTTAACTATGGCGATATGAGGTTTCTACGTCATAATAGGGTCCGTTTTCAGAAGGTACTATTATTTATGACCAAAAATAAAACATTCCAGTTAATTTTTCGATCGAATTATGTCGTCAATCATTATTTATGTATAAAAGGATCATTATAAACAAAGTTTGAGTTAAAAGTTCTACTAAGGTGTACACGCCCATTCCTACCTCATTTCCCTTGGTTCTCACGATGTTCTGCGAACATTACAGGATATCCCTTTTCGTGGGAACCAGAACATAGGAAAAAGATAAAAAGGAACTAACATCTGTCCAAAAATGCTTCGCGTGTTGCTTCGGGATACAGGGTGGTAAACTTGAAGAATGAAAATTGAATTTCTCAAAATTCATGAAAATTTTTGATCGTATAACTTCAATAATTGATATTTGTGGTTTTTTTTGGTGAAACACGAATACGGGCACCTTTCCACTGTGGCGATCAGAGGGCACTTATCAATGCACTTCTTATGGTTTAGAATGGCCATACCTTTTTTCTCAGTGTAGTTTTTTACTTTATTCATTGAGGAAATATTTTTCTGAACATTTTAAAGCAAAAAATACGATCTTGATAATCTACTGAAGTAAGCCGATTTCGAGATTTTTCGGGTTTTTGATTATTTTGAATAAAAATTGTTTTCTGTTATTTTCTTTATGTAATCGGATTGGATTTTTCAAAATACTTTCTTGGAGTGTACTTGTCGATTTTTATTTTTTATCTTCACCATCCTGTATCTCGGAAACTGAGCATAATTTAGGACTGAGGTAAGTTGCTTTGAATCGGCTTATTTTGACCTCAGGAATATATGCTAATATTTTGTACATTCCTTTTGGGGACACCATGTACATATAGAAAAAGATCAAATATAACAGTTGTAAGGTATCATGAGAACTATCACCTAAAATTATTTTCATATCTATTGGATGTTCGAATTCTAAGATATCGACAGATGATGGGTTTATTTGAATGGGACAACCTGTTTTCAATGGCATTTTCGAATGCACCATGAAAATTGTCACACAACTGTTTTTTGTTTTCAAAATTTTACTCCACGGTTGCCAAGTTATTCAACTTTTTCCGTGAATAACTGATTTTGTAGAGGCCTATATAAAAATTTAATGTCATTTCCGTTTGAACATTGGAACGAAATGAATTCACATGAGTTGAGTCCAAGATGTGTTCCATTCGTTCCTACAAAATTAGTTCGAAGTATTGAACACTCTGTCAATGATAGACGGAAAAACTTGACGGAATTAAAGATGCCAAAACTTCGTTATTTCAAATGAAACACCCTGTATTTTTTTTGTTTGGAGAAATGGTTACTCGTGCACCCTTTTTGAATCACTTTCACATAATTTTTTCTCCACCAGATCACGATACTGAGACGTGCGGTCAGAGTTGGTGGAACTGATAGGTATATGGACGTATATCTTTTTTATACGTCCATGGATAGGTATATTTTTTTTGTGTCATTTGGCCTGTTTCTACAGTATCCTCTTCACTGTCAATATAAGAATTGCGTTTGAAGTTCCACATTGGGAGTAAAAAAAGTCTGCTTAAATCTTACCATAACTCGAGTTTTTCTATTTATTTACATGGCATAATTTTTTCAGAATGATTTCGATAAAACAGGCCACAGTCTTCAGGGCTTTCCGGCAAAATTTTGGGACATTTGACGCTGACATAGAGCTCACGCTCTGGTAACGCCAACTAGTGAGACTGAAAATTTTAACCGTCAAGAGAGATAGATGACACTAATCTTTACATGATCGATAAAATGTAACATTCATTTCAAGATTGTATCCAGGGGTAGGTCAAATGGTGAAAGGGGGGTCGAAACCACCAACCACCCCAACTTCTTCATTTTTATTGTTTGAGGTTTGAAATTCTAGAGTTACACAAAAATGTACTCTTGTTGAACTCAAAACGGCTACTTTTTCAAGTAAAATTGGTTTCAATATTACTTCACGTGCCATTTAATCTCAGAATAATGTACAAATGGTAGAGGTCTTCGGTTATCATAATTTGGATATTGTACGTCGCTGTAAAATGTTACTGGTACTACTGAAAATCACTCCCCTCCGGTAACGATAAATAAATACATTTACTATTAAACTGCTTGTTCCTATATTAACTTAGTGATAAATTTTTTTGACCTCGCGTGAAGATGCCTGAGCAAAATGTTCAAAACAACTTTTATGGCACCATAGAAAGGATCAAAACGTTTGATAACAATAGTTTTATGCATTTTCTTGATTTAATTGGATGAGCACCATTTCCAAATCCTATGGCTTTTTTATCGAATTGTCGTTTCGAATTATCTACCACTTTTAAAAATGCTGTGCTCATACTCATAGGAAAACTTGTAACTTCTAGCTTCGGACTAACTCATTACAGTCATTTACCAGCATATTTCTGCATTTCATAATATGTAGGTATGCACAGTAACATCATTACATGAGTGTGCAATATCTATTATTGTCGAAATAGTTACTACTGATTTCAATTGCCCAAATGAGAAGAGAAATTCGAGGAAAATATAAGGGAGAAGTATTACGATTTTCATTTTATTTGCATCAAAATGAGTAATGTCAAACATTACTGTACTGATTTTCGTAAGCATACCTTTTCTCTAGAAAAGCCGATCTCACTGTGCCCAACATAAGCTTTCAGCAATAACCTTTCTTGGGAAAAATCACCTGAGATCAATTGCCAAAAGTGCATCCCAAAAACTTGGTTTTCTGTTTCGAGCCAGAAGCTATTTCATTTCCAGTCAGCTGCTTATGATCTATAAGGCACAGATCCGACCTGTCCTGGAATACTATTCCAATATTTGGAGTGCAGCACCTAAACATACCCTGAAACTGTTGGATCCTGTCCAAAAAAGGGCAATTCGTCTCGTGGGTGATGCCTCGCTCACCAACTCACTCACTTCTCTAGAACACCGTAGAAAAGTTGGCGATCTGGCTCTATTTTATAGATATTTTCATGGACAATGCTCTTCTGAAATATCAACAATTGTTCCTCCCTTGGCAGTCCCCACGAGATTAACCCGTCGAGTTGAGGCTTCGCACCCCTTCGTTGTCACTTTGGAGACCTCTGCAGAACATCTCTTTCCAAAGACTCGTTCATCCAACGAACAGCGAGGCAACACATTGCCATGGGAAGTGTTCCCCGAGGCATATAACCTCCAGAAATTTCAGGAGAACACCAATTCCTACCTTATTTCCATTGGTTCTCACGATGTTCTCTGATCATTATAGGATATCCCTTTTCGTGGGAGCCAGAACACAAGAAAAAAAAAATGAAATGAATGCTTCACAGCCCTAGTGCGGTAATAGTAATATTACATAACAAGAGTAGTAAAAACCATATTACGCACGAAGTTGAAAGTTACATACGATGCCGCGTAGGGAGGAGTATTACGATTTTCATTTTATCTACATCAGAATGAGTGATGTCAAACATTACTATACTGATTTTCGTAATGAAATAAATACTTCACAGCCCTTGTGCGGTAATAGTAATATTACATAACAGGAGTTGTAAAAACCATATTACACACGAAGTTGAGAGAGTTACACACGATGCCGCGTAGCGGCGAATGTGTAACTCCACAAGTGCGTATTTGCTTTACAACTCGAGAAATGTACTATACTTTTTCTACGACTCACCATACATACCTAAGGATAGTGCAGTTATAGCTAACTGCATGAAAAGGCACAAATTACAATTATTCTTGTATTTGCATAACGAACCATTTTCTTCAATTTCAACTAAAATGAAGCCGTTTTCCGTATCTTAACAACCGTATTAGGTCTTTGCTACGCTCGAATTCAATACTACCCGAAATTATGAAACATCGTGCGATAGGATGCGATGCAACCAACAAATAATCTGTGTGGTGAGGATTATTCCTCCTGTATAAATTTGAATTGTACATGTCCCACCGAGTGCCCCACCTACTTTTTTTTCTTTTTTTTTGAATGATTGAAAATTCTGTAGAGGCATATTCCGATCTCCATTAGTGAAAAGCAGCGAATTTTTCAACAAGTAGGCAGCCGTACACCTAAGGTGTTCAAGAAGTACTGAATAAGTGTTCTAGGAAATTATAACTATAATCACGATATTCTATAAAAACGCCCTGTATATGATATCGTCGTGAAAATGTAATAGTACTGAGTGTATCTAGTAGTAGAAGCAATACATTACGAGACCTAACATAAATCGAGTTGCCCTAATTGTCAGCAAGGGCGAGATAGTACAATTTCGTATCACTTGATCTCATCAGTCGCTCTTGTTCTGTTGACAAATTGGACTTTGGGTAGATACCCCTGAAAAAGCAGAAAATATTGAAACAAATAACATCCTAAAACTACCCTTTGATAAGATGATGATCTTTATCTGAGGACTTCTGAATGGTAGCTATGATATGGGAAACAATAGGATCAGGTACAAAAGATCTACGATCTATGTGCTTAGACTTAGAGACCAAATCTAAATGAAAATATGCTTATTGTTAACTTATTATCACATCTTATTCAATAGCGTTTAAGTTCATCGAGGAAAAATATAAAATGTTTAATCACTGGTTGTTTCGGGAACGAATCTGCTCCCGTTTTCAACATAGAAGAAAATTTGTTCTTGCAGTTGATGGTTGATATAAAACTGTGTGAGCCACAGGTTGTTTTTTTCATTGATCTTGAATTCACCATTTTATACTCGAGAGTTCAGGAGTGAAAATGGTAAATCCTAGATTGATGAAAAACACCCTGAAATTGTCATAAAAACTATGGAATTAATATGATTTTCGTCATTGCGGTAATTGAACATTCTACCCGTCTGACCTATATATAAATTAGGACAAAAACCGCAGTCAAGTTTGTACACTCCTGATTTTTTCAACTTACAAGCTTTGTCTCTATTATTTTTGGAAAAACCTTCCATACGTGATTTCAATATACAAGCAAATCTCAAGCAATATTGAGAATTTTGTGAAAGTCTTATCGTTTGTGAAGCTTTTCACATTTACTATGGTTGTCCATCAAGTAACTGCTGAGTTATTACAAGAATTGACAATATATAGGCACTGTATCCATTTTTAATCAAATATTCGAGTTATTGAAATAGGAAACTACTTTGACAACCTGTATGCCGAACCAGGTAGCTATTCGAAACTTAATAGTTTAACATATCCTTAAAAAAAATTTAAATTTCACTATTTACTCAGTTCATAGTAACTTTACCTTATGGAATCGTCAAATAAAAGTAGCCTGAAATTACAATCTCAGAATAATAACATCTCTAATGATGGTTCCACTAGGCTAGGAAACAAACAAGAGACACGTCTCATTGGAATTGAAAGGTATGATGATTCTATTTAAAAAAACAAAACAAAGTTAGTCCACTTGTCTATCGATTTTCTCCCGACTACCAATAGACGGTCGGCGAGTTACAGAACTTGTGACATCAGTACCGGCGCTGACGACAAAACAAGACCACTCCCGAAAAAAATCCAAAAACTAGAGTTCAGAACTTTTTTTATTGTGTATTTTCTCAACTAGACGACCCTTCGATGTTCAATTCTCAGTAGCAGACCTCTGCAAGATTCAGTTAACCGAATGATAAACCATTTTAATTTCAATCTTATTATGCAAAATTTTGACTGTTGGATAGACGATCGGTAGACCTTTCAAACGAGGTGTCACGTGACCCCTGTTTGTATTTGAAAAAATCGTCCATTACGTCATTACTCCAACACCAGTGACGTAACATCTCTCATATGAATGTCATGAGACGAGGCTTCAAAAATTAAAACTCACGTGTTTTTGGAATTTCTTCAAATGTCGCCCATTTCTGGAAAAATGAATTTATTCCATACATTTTCATCATACTGTATGTTCTTTTACTAGCTTTTCGAGAATCAGCGAATGATTTTTTTAAACAGTTGGAGGCCTTTGTGTTACCCAAACAAAAAAGACCTAATTATGATTACCAAAATCGATTGAAGGGGCCAAAGTTCAAATATGTGATTATTTAACCTTTCAGAAGTGTGACTATCTCATGTTTGATGCAAAAATCGATTGATAAAGAATTATAACAAAATAATAACAAACAACTGATGTAACTTGATATTTATTATTGTGAATATTACACATTAGACGGGTGTTGCATCTGAGTAGATCCACCCTGAATAAAAATGATAATCATAAAGAAAGATTTCTGACTAAAGAATTTTGTATAGCGGGACATTCTTTGATATTTTCAGTCTTCGTTTTTATAAATCATTAGCTCGAGTTGCGCCTTTCCTGAACTTAGAGAATTGGCCCGAACGGCTCCGAATGTTCGCTATTCACCGGAATGTAGACATATCAAAATATACCAAACTATTTATAAGCTTTCATCTGAAGATCA